AGACGAATATGAAAACAACAAAGTGACATATAATTACAATAATAACAAAGCATAAAGAAGTAGGTAGAATAAGAATAAAAGCAAGATACATAGACTTTTGGCGGTAATTCCCTTCCATAGGATTAAGGCTGTGCGGAATTTATATAATTTATCACATTTGCCGAAATATAAGAAAAGTTTTGACAACAATTTACACAAAGTCCGAAAACTTAATTTACAAAGTATTTTATAATAAGTCCGAAAATGTCGTATTTTACACCGTAACATAAATATAAATTATTATAACAGTATATATTTACTTGGTCCGAAGAGTCGTATCATATCGAATTGATAGGCGCGGATCATCAGATCAAACGAGACGTGATACGGCTCTTCGGATCAAGTTAGTGATATGATGATTTACTATACTCCTCTGTAATTATCAATGAAATATATGGAGATAACGAACAGTATTCAAGCTCAAAAGTCCAATAAACAATACAAAATAAGAGCAGAGCAAACACAGACCTCTGAAACTTCAGAGGTGGGATCGGTGCATGCACGGATCTAGGGGGGGGGGGGTTCCAGACACCCCCTCCCGCCCCTGGAATTTGCAGATATATTAAATTGATACACTAAACCAAGTAAAAAGTGACCTTGGACCCCCCCCCCTAGAAAACGGGGACACCTCTTGAAAACGCAGATCTGTGTTAAGTTGGTATGAAAAGTAATAGGTTTAAAGCAGGTTTAACGCATGTTAAGTTTTTTTTCTCTTTGATTGTAAACAATCTCAACCACTATTTCCCCCCCCCCCCCCCTAAATAGGATTTCACGTTTGGCTTTTTTTTTTTTTTTTTTTTTTTGCTTTTCAACAAATTTCTGAGTTGAGTTGGATTTTTTTTGACTGGGGTGGAACCCCCCCCCCGGAAAAAATTCCTGGATCAGCGCCTGGGATGCTATGGAGAAGTGAGCATCCCCTGTCGACCAGTCACACCCGCCGTGTGCTCCTGAATTGTCTTGATCGGGAAATAACGGGAAAAATCCGTCGTCAATTCAATGTGTATATAATGGACTAACAATTAGTATGAAAAAAGTCAATCATTATTTGACTCAATGATAAATTGTTTTTGCTGACAATGTCAAATAATTTACAAAATGATGACTTTAAACGAGACGGCTGATATTCTTGATTCATCAACTTTTTTGTCAATAATTTACCTTGTTTAAGGATTGAACATACGAAGAGCATGCTCTTGCGTATCGAATGAACTGAGAGATATAAACTCCGTATGCAGGTGATGAAGGTATATTGCTGCGTAAGTAAGGGAAGTTGACGATTGAAAAGTTAAAGTCATCCCGTTTATAATAGAGCTTGCTTGTTAGATTACTATTAACGTCTTATTCAAGTAAAAATCCAAATATGGAAAAAAAATATTTATCTCAAGCACACCGGGAATCCTGGATATATCGTATCGACATAAGAATGGAAATAACCATTGTTAATATTGACAATACATGTAGATATAAAGCCACACCAATTATTTTTATGTTCGTCGGACCCGCGCGCTCGTACTTCAGCAAATTTATGCAAATAATTTTAATTTAAATTCCCCGCACCGAGAAAATTATTTGCTAATATCTGTTCTATATCCGCTCTATTTATTCGTATTTTACATCTACTAACTCTACAAATCGCGGGGGGGGGGGGGGGGGTTAGAAAAATATAATTGCTTGCTCAATTTTTATCATGTTCCGCCTAAATTTGTTGCCTTCAATGAATTGATAATATTATTACTCAATCGCTTGGCCGCTCCTAGTCCTATTTTTTTTTTCATCACGTGTCCGACGAACAAGAAATAGATTGGTGGGGCCTAAATCGACGATGTATATTAAACAAAATTTTGGCTTTGAGAATTATTTAAGATCAATTAAAAACTTTGAACATAGAAGAAATTTAATTCGCTTTCGAATATCAGCCCACAGACTCCAAATTGAAAGGGGGCGTTATCAAAACATTCCTCAAAATGAAAGGTTTTGTCAGAGATGTAACAACAATTTAGTTAACGATGAAAAACATGTTTTATTCTTATGTAGTCATGTAAAGGAAGAAAGGGCTATTTTGTATAAGATAATAGAAAAATATTGTAAGAATTTTGATAAGATGGACAATGACCAAAAACTAATATGGTTAATGACCAATGAAAATGTTGAAATTCTTATTCAAATTTGTAAAATGATTCAGAACAATATGGAATCTGATTTCTGAAGAATTATATCTTAAATATATGCATTACATTTCAATTTATATACTAGGATCCCCTATACCCCCAAGTTGTCCTGGCTACTTGGGGTACAAGACTGACAGTCTGTATTCCCCATTTTCAAAAGGTGAGTTATTTCCCCTGAAGGGAACTCTTTTACTGTGTTTAATACGCATGCGCTATAAATAAAGTCACTTCCGCGGACGTTCTTGATGTAAACATGTTCATGGTGTAATGCCTCTGTCATATGGAAAAATGTTATTGTGTTTGTGAATTAAAAGAAATCTTAACTGATTCGTATTTTTTTAAATTGCCCACTCATTGTCTCTTTCTGGATTTGTATTAATCTGTTTAGTAGTATAATAAGGCGCTGTGTGAGCCCCCCCCCCCCCCCTCTTACAAAAAACAGAAAAGAAACAAATTACTGATAAAATGCTGATGTATATTCGAATAGGCCTATTTAAAAAAAAAATAAATAAAATAAAAAACAAATTTTCGGTAGTGGATGTTCTGCAGACTGATCATCACTATTTACAAAATGTGCAGAACAAATGTAAGAATTTTTAGTTTTTACGAATTAATCTAGCACGCTGCAGCCATATTTTCTTCTCTGCATCTCTAGGAATTTTTTGGAGACTGATGACATGTCCATCTACAGTTTTACCCCTGAAATTGTTGCATATACAGCAGTAGTTCGTCTTCCGCGACCGATACCAAGAAACTGCGTTTTTGCTCGATTGTATGTCATAAAATAGAACTTTTACTTACAAGAACACATTTGGTGTATTTCATTTGAATTAACCGTGTTTTCAGAATTTTTTATTTGTAAAATAATTGAATCACTGCATGCATAGTATTAAAAACTTTGAATGGAATTCTAAATGAATAATTTAATCTCATGTGCTCATGTAACGAAGAAAGACTAATTAAAATAGCATCGACCTGAATTCGTGTTACATATGTCGTATAAAGTCTGAGCTGCATTTAATCAAAGTTTTAGTGCAGGATCTAAGCATACGTACATGCATATTCCCGAGGAAAATACACATTTTGTTTTAGATCAGAGAATTGACAGCAGAAACACGAAATAGATACAATAATTTCCTAGCGTATTTCTTGTTAATTAACGGAAAACATTCTTTTCTCAAGTGTTATTCATGTTTTATTTTTTCTATTGAAAATGTTCATTGAAAGCTGCCACCCCCCCCCCCCCAACACACACACAGTTTATACTACGGTAAAGTTATATAAGGGAAATGAAGTATTGTATGCCAAGGAACTGGTACTGAAATAAGTAGCTTTTCGACTTTGGGCAAGGTTTTTCTTTGCTTGTCAACTTTTCCAGGTAAGAAAAAACATATTTCTTTGGCTGCCCCCCCCCCCACTTTTAAAGACGATGATACGTGCCTGGCTAATTCGTATAGCTTTCTAGAAAGGGGGGGGGCAACAGACCCTTTATAAAATCGCTTATTATCTAAAAAAAAAAAAATGCAAACCGTTTCCTTCTTTTAAAATTTTTAATGCAGCGTGTAAGTTGATCACTATTTTGTTGGATTATCGTAACGTGTAGTCCGCGGAAGTTGTGCTAGTGTAGAAGAGTTCCGATTTTGAGGGGAGATAAATCACTTTTGAAAATGGGGAATAGTCATACTGTTCAATAGGCACCGTCCCTTGGTGCCTCAAGTAGTCAGGCCAACAAATTAAGATTTCCTCCAACAAGCTGTCCTGGTTGCATAAGGTACAAGACCGAGCAACCTGGGTTTTCATTTTTTCCAGACTGCTCAATAGGCATCGTCCCTTGGTACAGTACCTTATGCTGCCAGGCCAACAAAATACATACCGGGCCTATAAAATAAAAATTAGTTTGTTTGCAGTTGCCTACCGACCCACTGAAAATGCACCCGACCCAAACTTTTTTTTTAGCCATTTTGTAATTTAATTTTTTTTTTTTATTTTTCAAATTATTGAAACTTTTCATTTTCAATTTTTGACTTTTGTTTTTATCTATCAGTGGTTTATAACAAAAGTGGATCTTACTCATGTTTAGTAGGCCAATGAAAACATGGAAAAACTCTATTATTTGTTTTTTTACAAAAATCTGAATGTTCTATCTAGCCCATTCCAGACTCGGCCTATGCATTTATAATTTAGTACTTATAGTAATAATACTTTGCAAAGTAAATAAAAAAAATGTTTATTTTATTTTTTTTTTAAATGATTAAGTTGGTTTTTAAGTATTATGAATAAAAAATATGTCTTTTTATTCATTTTTTTATTATTTAATTTATGCTGAGTTAACTTTTTTACGAATTATGAAATATTTATTTAGCCTTGGTTCAATTATTGCATTAAACCTGATATTAATGCTTTTAAAAAAATATTTACAGATGATGCGATAAATAAAAAATGAAATATTTTATTGTTTGCTTATCAATTTATGCATACCACGGACTGTATTTAATTTTGCAATGGAGAATGGGATACTAGTTTTACCGCTTGCCCAGATGATAATTAATAGGCATGCGCATTGCACTTAGCGACGGATAAACGCCACCTAAAATCAACGATTTTGTGAAAGAACGAAATTTAAACAATATTTTAACTGATTTAGCTTGACATATGTGACTAATACTTAGGCATATATAATTATGTAAATTTGTAATTCAAACATCATAATTTGCTTTGTAACTGCAATTAGGATTTTAATTTTTTTTCTCTCTACCGTTTTCGTTTCCGGATAAATTAATCCCAATAAATCGATCTTTAGAAACACAGACAGAATCTTCGAAAATGCCTTCCAAAGCAAAGCCTGTGTATAAAGGAGGGGAAAGAATGAAGTTTATTGAGATGTTGCATCACAAAAGTCACTGTAAGATTTTTTAGGGATATTTAACATTTATTTTGTCATGTTTCTTGAATAGTATCACAGGCACCGGAAGTAATGTAAATACATGTCCTTTTTAAGTTTTTTATACATACACATACTCAATGTTTTACATTAGCTTCCAGTGAACAGTGTCATAATTTGATAATAGTCAACAATTTTGATAGCTGAGATCTGTAGCATTATGGTTTTTTTTTATATTTGTCTTACACCATAACAAACTAAGACAGATATATAAAACCATAACGCTACAGGCCTGCAGCTACAATTTTGATGGTGGCTGTCTACTGGTAGAAGGAAAACTTAAAGTTGGGGGGTATTCCTTGAGACACATTTGCTGTATATAGGCCATTATAGGGTATCTTAATTAAAAAGTAGCAAAATGTAGCCAGTGGTAGATACACATTTGCTGTATGTAGGGTATCTTAAATAAAAAGTAGCAAAATATTTTATTTGCAGCCACTAGCCAGTGGTAGATACATGAGATAATGACTTGTTTTAGACATAAAGTGATTTCTATCTTCATTATTTATACACAGTTAGTAAAACAGAAGTGGAAAGATTGCTACAAATGCTGAAACAACAATGTCCAAACAGTCCAAAAATAAGGATGGATCGTAATAAATTCAATGACTTTGTACACAAGAACTTTGAAATGACAGATGAAATGATAGTAGACAGAGGTTTGTTTGTCTTTGATATTCTCTAGTATCTTTTCATATGGATAATGTTTTCTGTTTTACTGTAAACCTGAATAAAGAACAAGGGCGCTTTTGATTGGCATACGGCAGGAATCTGGGCGTTCTTGACAAGTGAAATTTTTTTCGACATGTCACATGAAATTTTAACATTTTTTTTATTTATCGGGTTCCTGTGCAACAGGAAAGGAAAATAATTTCCCAAAATTGAGCTTTGATTTGCTAAAAAATTGACCAGATCAGACAATTGTTACAAAATGGTACGATTTTTAAACACGTTTTTCTAAAAAATTTTCTATTTCTAGGTCTTCTCTTTATAATTTTGAAACGTTATTTGTGCGTATTTAATTCAAAGAAACGAATACACTTTTTTAAAAAATGGAGAGAAGACCCAGAGACCACGAAAAATGAACTTTTCCCCCAAAAAATCCAAATGTGGTGCTTCTTTGTCCTTTTAAAATCATCTGTACATGTGTAGCGGTGATAGCTCAGTTAGTTGGGCTACCTGTTCAGTGCACTCGAAGTGAAAAGTTTTTGGTTCGAGACTGGCATCGGGCATTTTTTTTTGTTTTCATGCAAACAACCATTTATTCTGTCAGTTTTGTTTTATATACTGATGTATTAAAATTTTGAATTAGATAAATTTTGGTTCAGTTTGGTTCTCTAGCGAAATCAATTCTAATCTTCTATTCTATAATGTACATGTATACGTATCATGCATCTATGCATTAAATTTTTTAGGTGTTTATTTTTTTGTGAAACATTACTATGTTATAGTACCCCTTAGGAAAAACGGGCATTATTACAGGGCTCGACATTAACACTTGTCCGCTTGTCCGGTACCAATGAAAAATAAATACGGACAAGTGAATATTGCTGGGCACTTGTCCAATTGGACAAGTGCATTTTAATGTAAAGGGGTCTCTAAATAATAAAAAGAATGACTGTTGAAAACTAAAACCAGTCGATTGAGCTAAATCGGTAGTCTCAAGACGGAAGCTGTACATAAAATCTAAACTTCGATCGAAGTTCACTAATTGCATACTACTGAAAAGTCATGGAAGATACGAACCGAAGTGTGAATTGTTTGATGTTGACAGGTTCACTTGTGGACATTTATGTTATTGTCAGGACAGTAAGCCTAAATTAAATTTCGTTTCATGTGTCTGTTGTATTTATCAATAACATCAAGAATCAATCAAGCGCATGACATGTGTAAATAAATGGACTTTATTTTAATTTTCAAGTTGAAACTATTGAACTTTATTGAAAATTTTTCGGACAAGTGAAGTTTAAATTCGGACAAGTAAATGTCTTGGTCACTTGTCCGAATGGACAAGTAAGAAAAAAAGTTAATGTCGAGCCCTGGCATAAATGTTACAATTTCACAAGGTATTTCAAACTAAATGAAAAAAAACCCTATGGACGTGTTTGTAAAATATGACCAGATATGTTCAGCCAACCAAATCATGGACATTTAAACCATAAATGTTTCGTACAAATGATTCCTGCAGATCACTAGCCAAATGCGCCCATCTTCTTTGTGGAACCATCCTCATCTGAAGTGTAGTCATGAACACCTGTATGTTTATTGCTTAATTAATTTTGTTTACAGTATGTAACATAGGAACATTTTTTAAATAGTTTTCCGTGCATTTGATGAGGACAATGATGGCTTCATCAATGAGCTGGAATGGGTGAAAGGTCTATCTATCTTTCTCCGTGGAACAATGGAGGAAAAAACAAAGTGTAAGTTACATAAATATTCAATCTCAGAAACTGAGCAAACTTTAAAGTGAATTGCATCTAATTCTTAAAATTCTTAAGTTCAGAATCTGAACACTAAGTATACTACCATCAGAACATCTGAATCACTCAGGTGACCTATAGCTATCTGGTTTTTGTGTGTCCTCATGCATATACAGTGAAACTTATCTTATCTGGATGTTGTGTATTCCTAATTCTTGTCTAATATGATCTAAAGTTGAAATCCTTTTCAGTGAATGTTATTGTTTAAAATATACAATCCAGAATGTTGTTTAACCTGGCTAAATTCTGTGGAACCAATAATGCTCAGATTAGACTAGTTTTACTGTATAGCTTCTTCTATATAGCTATTAAAACAATTTCAATCAGATTTTGTTTGTGCATCCAATAGACAAATATCTGTGAATCTAGCGACTTACTTTTACTCATGAATATTAATCACCATGAACCATTTATTTTGCTTTGTATAAGTAGAGAATGTTTCCTTGTTTGCGATGATTAATTCGCAGATTGATTTCAATCTAACCAATGCAACAGCAAATAAAAGATGACGCCAATAATAGTTGGTTTACAGTAAACTGACCATCTTCAATAAGCGACATATGCAGCCCTCTTTTCTGTGTTTGTGACATTCAGCTGTTCATCCTGATCCCAACCTTTATTAACTTTGCAGTATTTTTAATTTTGTCAGATGGTCATCTTGACCAACGTTTTCTTAAAAGTTATTGGTCCAGACAAATTTTCACTGGCTTTGCCAACAGGACCTTCTGATTTAGACAAGTCTGCTATTGTAAAAATACATGCAATGTAGGCAACACCTGTATTCAGTTTATCCTCAAAATGCAATTGTTGTCTGGTGCAGACTGCTCAAATCAGGGGAGAATTTTCAAAAATTATTAAACAGTCATGCTTACAAATTGCTGGACTGTATGACACTATGTTCCTAATGCATTTAGAATATGTTATGGGAATTAAGCAGTTTTCATTTGGAGAGAATTTGTAATACTCTAACTAGAGTTATCTATTTTTTAAATGGGCAAAAGTTTCATGTAATTCCATGTGAACTTAATGTTTGCTGTTTTCTAATATCTCTGCTTTAAAATTAAATATAACATGTATGTATTGATTCTACACACATTTATTTTGTTACAAAAATATGTTGGTAATAAACAGGTATCATAAATGTGTTGAGCAAGAGTGAAAACTCTGTTCTGTCATTTAAAGATGTCAGAGTCAATGGGTCTCTTGATTGCCACAAAGTAACTATATTATTTAAATTTATGCTGATTGATATTTTTCCACAGTTAATTTCTGTTTTAGTTTGCTTTGATGTTTATGATATGAATGCTGATGGGTATATATCAAGAGAAGAAATGTTCCACCTCCTGAAAAATAGCATACTAAAGGTAGGAGAATATGACATGCTGAAGGGAGAAACTACTCAAAGATAAGGCAAATATTTTACTGGAACTGAAAACTAAGGCATGCTTGCCAACGAGAATTTAATTTTATCTGTAATATGTACATATCTATATAATATAAAAATCAAATTTTCTCATGTCTCTTAGGTGATTTATTTAACTCTCAATTTTCATCCATATTTACCATTTTTGACTTCTGTAGAAACACCAAGTCAGTTTCAAGCAAAATTATCACAATGTGTTCATAAGTGTTAGGAATTTAAGAGTAATGTTTCAAAGAAAGGTCCCTCTCCTCTTAAAAAAAGACAATTTAGAAATATGGCTTGGCTACAATCCCAGTAATACTTGGTCATTTACTAAGAAAACTTTTCAGCAAAATTAATCATAAGGATTGTAGATAATGTGTAACAAAATTTTTTGAATTAAAATTCACCTGTCTATATTTTTTCTCTTTACCCAGCATTAATATCTTATATTTTAAAAGAGCTTGTCATTTATAAGAAAAGATTACTACTCTATCTCCATATTTCCTTCTATAGTTGACATTTTGTTTTTAAATACTGTGACTTCATAATGTATCACAGATTTAGATCAAGTCAAAGTATCTCTGTATTTTAGGTCAAGATCTTAAAAATCAAGGGAATTGACAGTTAACTTATTAAATTGTTATATCATAGCTTTATCATCTACATAATTTTATGATAGCTCTGGACCCCAAAAGCTGTCAAGACCCGTTAACTATATCTTGAGATGCCTCTTTGATGTATTTGCTTATTTACCTTCATTAACACAGAACTCTGTTACAGCCCGCCACAGAGGAGGATCCAGATGAAGGAATCAAAGATCTGGTGGAGATCACGCTAAAAAAATTTGTAAGTCTAACAAAGTACTCTCTGTTATAAATGTAACAAAAATTTAATTGGAGCTCACGCTCAAATAATTTGTAAGTCTAACAAAGTACTCTCTGTAATAAATGTAACAAAAATTTAATTGGTGGAGATCACGCTCAAAAAATTTGTAAATCTAACAAAGTACTTGCTGTTATAAATGTAACAAAAATTTAATATGTGGAGATCATGCTCAAAAAATTTGTAAATCTAACAAATTACTTGATGATATAAATGTAACAAAAATTTAATTGGAGATCACGCTCAAAAAATTTGTAAGTCTAACAAAGTACTCTCTGTTAAAAATGTAACAAAAATTTAATTGGAGATCGCGCTAAAAAAATTTGTAAGTCTAACAAAGTACTCTCAGTTATAAATGTAACAAAAATTCAATTGGAGACCACGCTCAAAAAATTTGTAAATCTAACAAAGTACTTGCTCTTTTAAATGTAACAAAAATTTAATTGGTGGAGATCACGCTCAAAAACTTTGTAAATCTTACAAAGTACTCTACCACTTTTATTTGTAATTCTACCGCTTTTCTACAAAAGTTTTGTCAAAGTTTGATTGGTTTGCTTGGGTAGGCATTTTGAAGTTTTTCATTCAGGTATGAAACACAAACTTGATTAGGATTTATGTTCACATATTTCATTGATATAATCATTATACACAATATTTATCAAAAGATGGGAACTGAATAGATCTTTACTCAATATTTCCCAGTATAATCATCAATTTAAAATACTCCATTTTATTAGCTGGGCTTATTGCTCAAAGAGCAATTGCCGGCTTATGTGATCCTGTTCAAGGCAGGATGTTAACCCCATAGTCGCCATTTTAAAGTTACGTGCAAAAATATAGTTCTTACTCTCAACCGCTTTTGAGATAATACAAACGCTAAATAAAGCAACAAAAATAAAACGAAGTTTTATATATATAAAGTAAACATTAGTAGTAATGACTTTGAAAACTTCATAAGTCAAAGAACATAGTTCATTAGCGTAAGGATTTTTGATAATCAGTGTTACCGTAGTTCTCTACACATACGAAGTAAAGCAGGAGAGGGAACCAGACTGGCCTGCTTGTTTACATTCAGCTGCAGTACCAGATTAATTCTGATTCTGACAAAATCGGACCGTGGTATTAGGATTGAAAAACTCACTGTCAGTGTCTTTTCATTTATATTGATAGTTTTAAAATAATTTTTTCATCAGAATATAAACGTGATTCATGTAAGAAATCCATTCTACTCTGTAAATGAGCCCGGCTCTCTGTACTTCTGAGTACTTTGATTTTGAAATCATTGAAATTTTGACATCATTTTTGGACTTCATGTCTAACCTATGAGTTACAAGCTATACAAGCAAATGCTTTGAAGTCTAGAGACTACATGCATGTATTTCCATGGGTAAGCAGATACTTTGGGGTCAGATATTGGCCAGATATATTAATCCAAGAAAATATATTTATTTAAAAATAAACAAGAATGAGAGAAACTAAATTAATTACACTGTACTATTTGATAAGTAAATTAAAAGATAATGGAGAAGTATTATGTTTGTAACCATTTAACCTGAAGTTGAATTCTATGTTTTAGGATTATGACCATGACACAAGAGTGTCATTTGAGGACTGGACTAAGTGTGTAAAGGAAGACAGTCTATTACTGGAGGCATTAGGACCTTGTCTGCCTAACCTTAAAGTCAGTAAAAATATTCACTAATGATTTCCTCAGTTATACCCTCAGTAATCAATTTATTGTTTAAACATGCACTATTTATTGTAGAAGCACAAATTTTTGTATGGATATAATTTTTTTTATATGTAATCTAAAAAAGTTCAGTGGGCATTTAATTTTGATACATGTTTCTGATCTGATAATTTTTTGATGACGTTCATAATTTATCGGAGAATAATGTGTGCTGCATCTCTTTGATCTCAGTAATAACTTTGGAGATTAGCAAGCTCACTTGTATGTGTGCCTGATGTGTAAACTATAAGTTAGATTAACAAGTACATGTTTACCGGTACATTATTTTTCTTGTTTAGCAAAGTTTGTTCTGTATGTGTACTTGTAAGTGTTTATAACACATTTATTAATAAAAATATATAAGTGTTCAACATAGAAAAAGTTAGAAAAAACATTATATTTAATATGTACATGTATATCATAGTTTTAAATAAATATATGCATATATTTATATGAACTAAATTGAAAAAGAGCTAGGTCTTACGTGTATATTAATTTTAATCCTTCAAAGCTAGCCTGCAGTTATTGAAATTCAAGATGTTGTATATTTAATACTCTCTATAAAAGAATATTTTTCAATCATAGATATTTTATTCCTCATATCAGTATTTGCATTAAATCTTCAGGTTTTAGAAAAATTGTTCCCTTTTTTAAAAACAAACAGCAGAGACAAGCACTTAACATGTTAGTTTGCTATACCTCTCCAATACTGTAAAATCGGAAAAAATATTGGTTTGTGGGGATTTGATTTTGTGGTTGAAAAATGTTTAGTAGTAACGCATATGTAATTTTACATTTCAAGGTGGTCATAAATTTGTGGGGCTCTACATACCTCGAAAACAACGAAAATTAAACCCCCACAAAAATTAGTGATTTCACAGTGTTTGAAAAGAAATTAGCATTTGGATAAAGTGATATAAATTATTTCTATATTCTTGCAAGGCAGCACTTTTATCAAAGGCTTTGTTTCCCTACACTTTCAAACAACAGAATTTTGTTTAATTCTTATTATGTTTCCCAAACGAAGTTGGGGAACATATTGTTTTTACTCTGTTTCTTATTATTATTTTTCTTCTTCCTGGGCACTTATTTGTCCGCGAATGATCTTGTAAACTGTTCATCCGATGTAGGTAAAACCTTTTTAGGGTAAGTAGACATGTTTTGTAGAATTTCGGAATCAAGGTCATTTTGCGCACACGTGCCTGTAAGAGCGCGCACATGCAACACGTGAAATGACCAATATAATAGATGAAGCTGTAATTTTTCTATATTTTGATGAAATGTTTTGAAAATAATAATATAAGTATATATTAGTACTATAGACAACAGGATATGGTCAAATTATCATGAACTCACGTGCATGCACATGCGCTTCGCTCTGATTGGCTGAAACTAAAGTCTCAATATCTTTATATATTTTTTGACAAAATACTTTGAAATTTTAAATATAGTCATACATTAGAAGGTTCTACAATGTGATATACAAGAATTTTAAGGAAAGCACGTGCATGCACGTGTGCTGCAATCTGACTGGCTTAAACTTTAAATGCCTATAACTTTCTTATTTCTCAATAAATCAGGATAAAATTTAGAATATAATAGATATCTACATTATGCTACTATCAAAATTGAAAGTATGGACATGCAAGCACTTGCGCATGCGCAATGCGTAAAATGACTAAAATACTTGAAAAATAGTAACATTTATCTCTGTATTATTTCCTTTGATTCTCAGGAATTCTTAATTAGCAAACATGCCATGATTATCTTGCATATGCGTGCGCGGGCATGTGAAACGTTAAATAATATATAGTTGATATCATTGTAAATTTTATATTCTTAAATAGAATCCGTCGAATCTGAGCAAATAAAAAAAGTCTTACAGGAATAGGCACAAGAAGGGATCTGGGGAGCATTTGGGGAACATCTGTAACGGTCCCCGTTACAATTAGCACTAGTTTCTAATTGCAATTGATAAATGTTTTCTTAGAACCGTTTGTTTTTGCTGTAATAAGACTCTAGAACCAAGGAGCTTTCAGGGAGTTCAGCGTCAGTTTTGTTTTAAGCATTTATCCTGTATCATTTAAAGTTAAATTTCTTGGTTCTAGATCATACTAATAATAAGAAGAAACCTTGATTTCTTTGTAAAACTTCAAGTTCATTATTGGCATGGTTTGAAATTAAATGATGTGATCAGTCGAAGGGAGAGAAAGAGAAGTGGGCAGGGCTAGGATCAAGCATGTGAATTAACAGAATCATGTAAATACAGCATGTAAGGAATAAGTGTCAATTTTTAAACTCACCTGAGTCGAAGGCTCAAGTGAGCCTTTCTGATCAAAGGAGATGGGTGAACTTAGCGTGCAGAAAGCCCACTAGCTTCAGATATATAAAAATCATATTCAAATTGTGAATTAAGTATTTAGAGTAAAGTTCTCATCATTGATTTTTATGAAATCATGATAAACAAAAAGTTTTGAGGAAAATTTTTCGTTAATATTCATTCTTTTATAAAAGAAAAATAATATGGTATCCTTTGGGTTCGAACCCTGGTAATAAAAATCCTGAGTTGCATTCTCTATTGAGACTAGCATGCTAACCACTACGCTACACAAGTCCTGATGAACTGTGGCATTTAAATCATGTTTGTGATATGACCATTGACTTAAGGGACTTCAACTATTTCTTGAAAAGATATGAAAATTATGTCATAAAATTATATCTTAAAGGTATAGTGGGTCTTTGCTTCATAATTTTGGAAACCAAAATATGTATGTTTGTATGCAAACTTTGAGGATTAACTTTCCAAAAAAAGGAGAGAATACCCACTCATATCGTAAAATAGTGTTATAGTGTGAAAAAATGACCTGTTTGTCCTCTTTCGTGTGTGTATAATATTTCATAGCCAAATAACTTCAATCTTCATGAGAATTGTGCAAGTTGTAGAGATTTTATATAAAGTATACTTTCATGTTAGATGAAATATTAAGGAAAATTTTGATATAATTGAGATTTTATTTTTCACCTTCATGTTTGTTGCGATATGGGCTTATCTCTCGTCATATTCACCCATCTCCTTTGTCCGTTGTCTGTCGTTGTTGTTGTCATCATCATTGTTGTTGTTGTTGTTGTAAACTTTTCACATTTTCATCTTCTTCTTAAGAACCACTGGGCCAATTTCAACCAAACTTGCAACAAAGTATCCTTGGGTACATGAAGGGGATTTAAGTTTATTCAAATGAAGGGCCAAGCCCTTTTCCAAGGAAAGATAATTATGAATTAGTAATAAGTTTATGGTATCTTTTAAAAATCTTCCTTCTCAAGAACCTGTGGGCCAGGAAAGATGAAACTCACTTGGAAGCATCCTAGAGTAGTGTAGATTCAAGTTTGTTCAAATCATGACCCCTGGGGATAGAGTGGGATCACAATGCTGAATGGGTGATCAAGTTTTTTTTTCATAGGAATGCATGGGAAAAATCGGTAAAATTCTTCACAATTAAGCCATGATTGATCATCTATATAAAAGCGTAAGAAAGGTATTGTAGTTTAAATAATTTTCAAATCATGACCAATCAGGAGAATAGAGGAGCCATTAAAGTGGATCATAACAAAGGAATATATAAAGGCTATGTCAATTAAAATTTTCATCTTATAAACCGCAAAGCCATTATGTGTCATATTAATTCAAAAGCATTCATAGGAAGTGTAGATTTAAGTTTGTTCAAAGTCCCCCTCCCCAAAACCCACTATAATGATAATTTTAAATTTTTCGATACTGAACTGATTTTTGCTTCTACCTAGCCAGTTGCTCAGGTGAACGATGTGGCCCCTGGGCCTCTTGTTTGGTTTTATGGTTTTGATCAAGCAACATTGGCTTTTGTGAGCATTTTATGCATAAATCTCTTTGGAATTTATACAAATTATCACGCAAGCAAATAACTTGACCACAAATTCATAAAACAAAAAACAATTAACATTTTATCCTTAAATACATATTCTAATGCAATTGTTTTGTAAAACACTTTTTGATTGGCTAATGCACTGGTGTTTGAGGCAGTAAAACTAGCATTAACGGGAGTGAAAGCTTTACATTGTGACGTCATAATAGAGCGATGCAAAAACAAAATGCCCCATGACGTATTTTATATAACAAAATTCGACAAAATAAGACGTAAACAACAAACAAAATGTATGGATTGCATTAGAATGGGAATATCTGATCTTCAAATTTGGTATTTGCAACCGTTAATGCTGATTTAACGGTCGCAAACATCCGTTTTACCGGCTCCGCTTACGCGTCGCCGGTAAAACTCAGTTTGTGACCATTAAATCAGCATTAACGGTCGCAAATACCAAATTAGAAGATAGTTATTCCCTAATTTACATGCATAGATCTGCATAAAACATACATGTACACCACCTCAAAGTTGTTTTGAACATGTTTCAATAGACAATATGTGAAGAGAATTGAACACAAGTTTCAGAAAGTTAGATATACAAGGAGTTCTCTCCTAAACTCAATGTTGATTCCTTTATCTACCGTACATGTGACACTATAACTCCTGAGTTCTTTTAGCTAATATTGTATTTATAAAGAATTCTTTACGCAGGCAAAATATCATCCTCGCAATTCCAGAGGTCCCGAGTCAACACATTGCCATAGGACCCCAGGCATATTTCATTCAATGTTTGTGGGCTGTGGAAAAATTAAGAATCTTGATTGGTTTTCTTATTTTTCAACCAATAACATTAAGTCACTCATAATTTAACTACTTGTACATGTAACACATGCATTTGAAGTGTCAACTGCATCTTTTTCATTCTAAAGCTAGTAATTTAAGAGCCATTATGTTATAACTTGAAATTTTATGTAGGAGCTGTGGCATGCACAGTCTCAGAATTTCTCTAAACTCTCTATGATAAAAGCCTTTGATACCTTAAACTAAAATTGGGCAAAAATTGGTTGCTAAGTGATATAGTTACCATGGCAACATGTCTTTAAGTTTGAAAAATGTCATTTTTCTGACATGTTTAGAGCCCCATAGTTAACATTTGTGGCAAATCAAACAATTGGGAATTATTATTTCTTAAAGTTGAAGGCCTGATGTCTTAAATGCATGATAAACATGTTTGGTAAATCAAGTACATGACTTGTATTACATATGTTACTATGGTAACAAATAGGGATGTCAAATAGTTTAGTTGATATTCGAAACAAATTTTTGAAATTTTTTAAAGTCATACAAGCATTTAAATGAGAAAAATGACAAGTTTTATTTGAATTTTAATAATTATACCGTTGACATGAATAACATTTGATTTTAAAAATAATAAAAGACAGTCCTGTTGGATTACTTTAAAAGTGTGAAGAGTGTAATTATCAGAATAAATTATTCTTTACATTTACAATCAGTTTGTATTGTTGTAAGGACACAATTTTGCAGAAAACACATGGATCCCTTGTTTATGTATATATCATTAAAAATAATTATCGGGTAATTAATTCACTAAAATTAATTGATTTTAATTTTCCTTCTGTAGATAATTGTTTTGAGTGGTATAAATGTAATTAGTGTAATCTTTTTAAAAAGCTTTTGAATTATTAAAAATAAAATTTTCATTACATTTTAGATGTATACTCTTCATATATTTTAAAATTAAAAAAAAGTTGTTATTACTTTGCATTTACAAAACTCTTTGTGAAATTTTATTCCAAAAGAACGACAAAACATATAATAGTTGACAGAAGAGTTAAAATATATACATGTACTTTATAATGCAAAAATGTATTTAATTTATCGAATAGAATATATTGAATACTCCTATGAATGTTCGAATATCAATTATTGACAATTTTGACATCCCTAGTAACAAAGTATTCAAAAGTTTAAAAAAAAATCTTTGAATTTTATAAAGTCATACACTTAAAAATGAAAAGTAATTATAGGATGAAATGTGACCAAATAAAAGAGAAAAGAGCTTTGAAACATATACCAAGAACAAATTATGACATTTCATTTTAGTTGGCAATGGTTGCCAAGGCTTTTATTTCATAGAGAGCCTTCAGATTTACACTCTGTATGTTTAAAAATGATCATATCTTTTTAAAAAGCATGTTTCCTTATAACTGATGATCCATTTTTAAAGGTGTTGGTGTGGTCACACAGGGTAAAAAAAATTAAAATCAGATTCATTAAATAGAGCATTGCTGTGGAAACAAGCAGAAAATATCTGAAAAATATTTTCTTTCCTTGGATACGTATCCTTAAATGAAGATTCCCAAAACTGATTGATATTTATTAATGGATAACCTGACTTTTAATTTTGACTATCATCAAATCTCTAACTGGATGCAAAAAGCTGGCGCACAGGGTTTAAAATTGATTTAAAGATTACAAAATCTAACATTTCAAGGTAACCATAGCAACAGTGTTGTTTTTTCATCAAATTTTATGAATTATCAATATATGATATTCAACTTTAGTTCTACCAGATAAGTACTACTAAGGTGAGTCATATAATATGTTTCTTGATCTAACGACAAGTAAATTTTTAATGGGTAACACTGCAATGAAGCAAATTAATTCCAATTTTTCTTATGGTGTTGGTGTTGCAATGTCCTATTAGGATGCATATTTGACAGTCTTGAATTTTCATGTTTTTCCTCAAGACAGTGGCATTAACCTAATCTTAGTTACTGCCCTTGCTTGTTCCCTGTGTTACCATTGCAACCAGAAAAGTTATTTATAGAATAATATTGCCTATGCCTATATACTTAAGGTCAAACATTTTCATTGTTTTTCGTAAGTTGTTGATTGAGTTTGAGCATGTAACACCTACTATTGGTGAATACTGAGTGTTTTTCAGCATATTTCAGCTTTTTAAATGTATTCCAAATGTACCCTTGGTTACCACTTACTTAGAGATATATTCTAAGCAGTTTCTTTACAGTATAAGTGGAAACAAGGTGTCGTGTTTTTTTGAGAAAGGTTTGTTTGCTTTTCCTAGTTTTTATTAAGGCTCAGTAAAGATTTCATTAAAATAGTTGGAAATCTCAATTTTTCAAATTTTTCTGGCTGTTGCCATGGCAACCAAGACGCATAGCAACAAAATTAATTTGATATATGTTTCTGGTGTCAAGTACCAATACTGGGTAAAGTTTCATCAAAATTGGTCACCATGCTTGGCAACGAAGTTTATGTGGTTACAGAGAATGGCTCTTAACTGTTTATGAGAGCAAGCCCTAAAATTTCTAATGAAATATGCTGGGAGTGTCCAATGGCAACATGTTAACTTGGGACCCCCCTGGCATTGCGAGGATGGCAAAATATGGAAAGATTGCAAAGTCCATAATGTAATGCTACATAACATTGTCAGAATCAGTTTGTCTTAAAATTATCAGTGTTATCATTCTTAATTTTATTTTTATTTTTCCATTTCCAGACAAGAAATGCCTTTCTTGAGCTTGTGAGTGATGCCCAGCATGATACAGGCATGAGCATCTCAGCTCAGCAGAAAATGAAAGGAAAAGTGACCTACTAACTGTTGCCTCTTCTATAGGAAGTGACATGGAACTGAAATTTAATTTAAAATATTCATAGTTTGAAGTTTTGCACCCAACTACATTTGCAAATGAAGCAGTGCAAAAGAGATTTTTTATGTAAATGTGATTTATAATGAACTTGTTCAAATAACATTAGATCATTCATTTTTTTAAAATAGGGATGGCAATTGTAACCGGTTAATCAATTAATCAGTTGGAACAATGCTAATCAGTTAAAAAATCCTGAGTCGGTTAGTCAGAAAAAATATAATTATGTAAATGTGAGCGCAGTTTCCTTAAAATCCTTTCTGTATAGATTTTTATTTAGTGTTTTTACACATTTTATAATAAAGAATATTTGGAGGTAATTATAGGACTCCAGATTGAAATTGCAGGGTAATTGGTCAATTCATAAAGTGTTAATTACTGTTTTTATAACATCATGCCATTACCCACTGGCAGATAGTCCTGTGGTTTTTTTAATGAAATTAAGAACATCACTGTTAAGCACTTTTAATTAAAGTATGTCTATATTTTGCTGTTATCTATTAAATTTTATTTAAGGAATGCATCTTATTTCAACTTATATTATACGATATAACATAACTTGGGGCAGTTTACGCTTTATAAACCGAAAGCGGTTTATAAAGAAGCGTAAGCTGCCCCAAGTTTTGTTATATCATATAATTATAATATAAGTTGAAATAAGATTCATTCCTTATAATTTAATTTCAGTGCAGACAATGAGACAATCCCCCCCCCCCCCCCCCCCCCCGAATAAGGTTTCACGTGGATTAAATGTTTAAAGTAATGTCTAGCAGAGTAATACGTTTTTTGACGTAACTCATTGTGACGTAGGCAAGTTATGTTATACAAAATGGATAAAATCTTTTATCCAATCAAATGATGTGTTACAAGTAAAATTAAATTATTATTATAAAGAACGTTGTAAATTGTAAATAAAGTGAGAGTTCAGACATAGACTAGTTCTGATTATGGTGGCAATGCAGAATTAACTTCTTTGACATCTATCCCTGTCTGAATTTTCAAGCAAGATTCATGGTTTTCTTAATTTTTTCATGTCTATTGAAATAAAATATACTCTTATGTACATAAGATTCCCTGATCAAAAAAATAAACAGAATGTATCTTCTAAAGTCTTTTTAGTCTTTTTGTGTATATGAAAAGAAAATGTCAAAATGTATATCTTAATACGACTAACCGGTGAATTGGTCGGAACGTTTTGCGGTTAACCGATTAGCAATTCTGCAATTGATTGCCATCCCTATTTTTAAATATATATTTTTTTTATTAAAAAATATGGATTTGAGGAATGCCTAACAAAAATTACTAGTATATTTTCTCGTTTGCTTATGTTCAGATAAAATTAGGTGTTGAATTCAAAGTACAAAGTATATCATTATAGTCACATATAAGTACATGTACATGTATATTAGTATTTTATACATGTATGTGATTTTAATATATAAACAAGCATAGTTTCCATTTATCATTTCAGTGGAAAAATTTTGCAGTCATCAAGAAAAAAGACTTCATGAGTTGTAAAACTGAAAGTTTTGTAACTTATAATTGAAATATGTTTTCCCCAAAAATAAACCAAGCTCAGATTCTGGCATCTTAATATTTTTGCTTTGTGATATAAGTATATATATTGTTAAAATACTAATTTTTCATGTTTTTTTTTTTAATTGTTTCTTTTTTGCATGCATTTACTTATTGTAATTTTAATTCCGTCCAGTTTATTTGAGATAGTATTGAAATATATAAATTTTAAAAATTGAAAGAAAAGATTTCTGTTGTATGTATCAAGTTGGATAAGACTTTGTAAAAGCCCAGATTTAAAAAATAACAGCAATACCAAACCATTTAACTCAAATGGCTCAGTTGTGATAAGCAATGTCTATCATCTGTTGTCTGGCACCAGCATCCCACTGTAGTGAGGCCATATCAAATGTCTTTAACGAGGCCGAGTCTAATTATTTCTGCCCTAGGGATTTTGATAATTTTTTGATACTTATTTTTATATATTTATTGTTTTAAGAAAAATCGAATGTTTACCATCCCGATTCTTAGGGGGCCATTTCAAAAGTTGTCAAATTTTACTATTGGACCCTATATGGAAAAGCACCGAATTATCAATATTTTTGGTATTTCTGAAGGGAATTCTTTTTCAATCAAGTAGATGAAAGTTATTGTAAAAAGACACCAAATTTTGAAATTTCAAAGAAGTTCACCAAAAATTAAATAAGTAATAACGAAGTTTATTTTTTCAAAGCCAAATACCTCTAAAATATTGCCATACTTTACATATCCGTTCAGATGAATTATCGGTGCATATGATTTTTTTTTTCGGTAAAAATAGCAATGTTTAGATTGATAGAATGTTTCTTTGATTGTTCAGTCATCAGTTTTTAGTATAATATCCATGTGGACGTCTTGAACAAACAAGCGAGTCATGCGTCATTTTTCAGCGTAATGCATTGCTTACAAAATCCGAAAATGGTGACGTCGTTAGAGCCAATTTTGCGTTTTTTCCTTAATTATTGTCGTAAAATCGCAAATTCAGACCAATAGGAGTTAATTTTGTATTAAGATCACAATATTTTGCAAAGGTGTACTGTCACACAAATGATTACATGAAATTGAAAAGCTGTGCAAAGTCATGCGCACTCGAATTAGACTCGGCCTCGTTAAGAGATCCCCTTATAAGAACAATGCACCTCCCTATTAATTATTAAGGTCAAGATCTAGGAAATGTCTTTGGACTAACTTTTTGGTGCTAGATCCATTATGATTTGATAATAACTTTCAATTTTCTTTTTCCCATACTTTATGGCTCCAACAGAATTATGCAGAAAATAAAGTATTTACCGTTTTCTGAAAGACTATAGGCAAACTGGATACATTTTCTTTGTCTGATATGGAAAAAAACCCATATCTATGACTGTTTATCTTAATTTTTCCTTGGAAATGACAGGTTAAAATATGATTTTTCATCTTGTTTACCCCAAATTATGCCCTAAAACACCTTATTTGATCACACTAATGTTATGGAGCATAAAAAAGAAATTTATTTCTTATTAAAATGCCTTTATTCGGTAATGACCAATATTTGCCCCCAAAATCAAACTTACATGGAGAAATATATAAGTATGTTGTAAAACAGGGATAATCTGCAGATTCAAAGCAATGAAAAAAAAAACATTTACGTGTATGACATACCTTGAATTAATTCAAAATATTCTCTTGAAAGGAGAAGGTACATGTATGGTAACAGTCGAACTTGGTACCTTGTTTGATGTACAGATAAAAAAAACCCAGTTAAATTTGTAATAGTTTGTAGTTAAAAACTTTTAATTTAATGATGCGTATTTTAAAACCAGCATTAATCTTAATTCAAAGCATACACAGAGGCTACAAGAGGGTCACTGCCGGTGACAAAGTGGGATTTTTGCCGATTTCCTCGTTTCTGGAGGAATTTTCTTAAATCTGAGACACTTTTCACTTCAGCAAACATAGAGGACAAGCTTGCTTATTTAAGATTTTTATACACAAGATGCACCTGTTACTCTTAGATGAAATATACAAGAGGCCCATGGGCCTTATAGGTCACCTGAGCATCATATAACAACTTTCCAACCATTGAAATTGGTTCATGTTTTAATCCAGAGGCCATGAAATTCACAATTTTGAAAGAGGCACCAGTGCTCATCATAATTATACACTTAGCATGCTTAGTTCAGTTACGTAAAACCCATAGGCAGAGTAGGAAACAAAAAAAATGCATTTCAACTAATCAGTATTCCCCACCCCACAAGAAACCCTGACCCTGGGTACACACATTTTACAATTTTGGAAAAGGTAGTTTTGTTCATCACTTAAATGTTTGATAAATAATAAGAGCCACCCTCCCCTCGTTTACTCCTGACCCAAGGACCTTATACAGTAATTCACAAATCTGGAAGAACTGTTGCTAATCATAGCTATATAAGTAGTTCATCTGCTTAAAACCCAGAAGCAGAGGAGGAGCTTTTGAAAGATTTAATGCATTTTCAATATACATTGTATAATTTATATAGCTCCACCCTGACCCTGAGGCCATGAAATTCACAATTTTATCCTCATTATAACTATGTATGTAATTAGTTTGTTTAATACCTAGGATCAGAGAAGAAGATTTTCAAAGAAATAATGCATTTTCACTAAATAATCTATATAACCCTGCCCTAGCACTAGAACCCCTGACCTTGAGGCCATGAGTTTCACAATTTTGGTAGAGGACTCAATGCTTATTACAATCATGCCAACAGTAAAGAAGAAGATATTTAAAGATCACATGAATTTAAGTGGTGTTGAGGTGAATAAATTTTTTTTCCAGTATTCCTATCTAACTTTTTAAAATAATCTTCAAAGAAAATATTTGATTTTGTCTTATACCCCGGTAATTCATGAGTTATTGAAACTCATATGAGTATATACCCCCTCCCTTTCCCACAAAGTGAAAATCGAAAACAATTTTAATACCCCGTAAGTGACAAGTGACAAATAGCCACGTTTGTATTTGTATATTTTGCATTCATTATCATCCCTGTAAGATTTGGGAAAACCAAGACATAATATGATCCATAGGAGATAATTCGGGTCGGGTCTAGCACGTTACATTAAGCAAGGTTATTTTTTACCAGATTTTTAAATTTTTGGGCAGCATTGCTTTGTCTATCAGTTAATTTTGTTTTATACTTCATTGGATCCTTCACAGTGTTGTATTATACTCAGGTGACCATTAAGGCCCTTGCACCTCTTGTGTTTTATATTTATATTTTTACTGTATTTCCACACGTTTTAAGCTCGATTAGGACTACAACTTGGGTACAAATTAAGTATATATGAAATATCTTTGAAAATCTTCCTCTCACAGCAATGCTATATATCATTAAAGAAGCATCCTAGGGTATTGAAGATTAATTCAAATCATTAGGGTGTAGAATCACTAGGAAGGAGACACAGCAGGGAGTTTATGTAAAGATTACAGATACACGTGTAAGAAATATTTTTAATCTTTCTCATAAAAACAGCAAATTCATGATTAGTCAATAGTCTAAAGCCACAGTTTAAAGTCCGCATAGCTCTGGTTTGCGACGATTTGATTAGTCAAACTAGTATATACAGAACCATCAGATAGTTTAGATTTAAGTTTGTTCAAATCGAGACCCCGGGAGTAAGATGAGGCCAAAATATTAGTAGAAGATTAAACTTTTACATATAAATATATAGGGAAAAAAGTCATCTAAGTTAAATGACCAGTCAAAATTTTATGTAAGTCCGCAGAGTAGTAGTGTGAATGTGAAGAGATGAAATAATACACAAATGTAACCGTAGTGATGAGCATATAGGTCTTACAATAAACCTTTTATTATTTGATTCACTACCACCGTATGTAAATATTAAAACAGGTCTTCATCACATTCGTACCAACTTTTACTCGGTCTCTTGGATTGAAGTTTAAAAAAGTCATTTAAAAAAAAAATCGAGGAAGGTCCAGATATTATTGTATCAAACATGAGAAATATTATCCTACAATGTTTTTTCATCCTATTTAATCATTTACGT